TTTGCGTGTGCGTGTGCGCGCACGTGTCCTACTTTTTGGCCTTTGTTTGACGGGCCCATAGAAAACACACAAAAATGTAAAGAGGCAAACGGAGATTCCCGCGAAAATAAGATGGCCGAGTGGATCAAAAAGGTTCCCCAAAGAGGAATAAAAGGCCCGCAGACATTAACACATCCACCTGTCTGTCTGTCTGTCTGTGTCAGCTGCCGGAGGTGAGGCGGTTGCCATGGCACCCTCAACATCATCAGGGGAAATAGGAGACTTGTAAGGACTTTCACAGACTTGAAGAAACTTGAGGAACATGAAGCGACCAAAAGAGATTTTTAGGGACGAGACTTGAGGATTACAACCAAAGGAACAACAGCCATAGAAAGGGTAATGTTGGTTGGCATGACATACTCATCAAGGGAACTATGACAACTGAAGCAATATCAAAAGACTTTCAATGATTTTGTTTTTTAAGGACATGACAAGACTTGTGGGAATTGGTATGGACGTGATTTGGAAAAGACTTGGAAGGACGTAAAGACACTTCTATTCAGTTTTGGGGACATCAGGAGATGCAAGAGACTTGTTAGGACATCTATAGACTTGAAGGGACATGAAGACATTTGTAGGGACTTATAAATACATAAAGAGACTTGGAGGGACGTGTAAGGATCATTAGGAACAAGACGAGGCTTCTCGGAACTTTAAGGGATATGACAAGACTTAAGGGGCATAATGAGATCTGTAGACCAATGACTTGGGATTTGTTATGGGCACAAGACCTGTACGGACATGAGGAAACTCGAAGCATAATCTACGATGAACAAATGTCACAGACATTATCACGTCCACCAATCTGTCTGACAGGTGTTCCGGAGGTGAGGCAGCTACCATGGCACCCCGACCGTCGTCAGGGGAATTATGGGGTCTCCACCTGATGCCACCGCGCATCCTGGTGGACTGCTGCCTTCCCAACGGTACGAGTTTGCTCACCTGTTTCGCATTCCAATCCGACACAGATTACAATGTCGGCGGTGTTGTGTTGTTCGCAGGGATGATGGTGAGCCTGGAGTGTCTTCGAGAAACTCCTCTCATCAGCATCAAACAGCAGCTCTTCACAGAGGCCAGGAAGTATCCCCT